GACCTGGTAGACCTTGGCGGCGTTGCTATTGGCGTGCTCTGCCAAATCAAACCGTTTGACAGGCTCGAGCGGGCAGCTCAGCCGTGGCTCTGACTGATCAGTGCCTCGACCTCGGCATGCAACTTGCCTATCACGCTGCTTCTCCGTCACAACATCACGCACAGACTGGAGAACGGGAGGTGGTGCACTCAAAGCCATCGGGGTAATTGATCTATGACGTGCTTGTCGCATGTGGAAAGGATTGCTCCAAAGGGAACACCATTACCCTTTTCGCCGAGCAGTTCTGAAAGTTAGCGCTCGTCGCATTCTTTATGGGCTCCGTCACACGAACGACAGTAATACCAATAGCCGCATGGCGGAACGCGCGCGTTACGAATGTAAAGTGATGGGCGCCTACAAATCTTGCCCTAGGGAGGGACGATCAGCACCAACCCAAGCAACGCGGGACGTTCTCGCTGAGGTGTTTTCATCAGAAACACTGCCAGTGAACAACTACTGACACTCAAACCTGGAGTACGCACGAACATCTGGGACGATGTGAATCAGCTGAAAACGATTTTGGCAAACTTGCAACGCCTCACGGAACTGAGTGACAACACGTGGGGTACATACAACCTCATTCGGGAGGACACCACATCTTTTTCATTGTCCTTCACGCTGCCTTCAATCTCGTCTCGAAAATGTCCACCTTGTTCATCAACTCCGCACATTGCTTCGCATCCACACCCGGCATCGCTTGCGAAACGCGCGCGCAGGACGGCACGATGGGGGCGGACGGCATAGCAAGCAGGCCTCACGAAACGAGCCATCGCACGGATTTCTCAAGCGAGTCCCTGATTCGTTTCACCGAGCCTTCACATAGTTCCGCTTGGGTCAACGCTGTTAGTGAGGAGGAGACAGGAGGATTATGATGATGTAGAAGCAAAAAACGGCGGGGCATTACAAGGCAACACAACTTGAAGAGCACTGGGATTATACTAAGAGCAGCGTGTTCGAAATCAGAAGCGAACTTGTGACGAGCAGCAGGAGGATTATCACAAGGAGGAGCATGTTAAGGGGAAGTGGGGGAACGAAGGAACGAACCTCCCGCATCTGGTGTCTGCCGCCGATGGCGGGTCCGGAGGAACACGCTCGTCCCTGTTCTCTCTCCACACCATCCCCCTCCATCCCCCCCCCTCCATCCCCCCCGCCATTTCTCCTCTCCCTCATGCCCCACGAGCAGGGCGGGAGAAAATGGCGATGACGGGATCGGACTGGATCGGGAGAGACGGGGATACACACAGGAATAGACCAGAAGAGATGAGAGAGGGGGGGAGGCCCAGACCCCCGACTTCATGATCTGCTTCCTGACGGCGGCCCCCAGACATCTCGACCCCTTCCCCGGGGCTGATTCTTCAACCTGCATCAACTTTTGACGATCCCGAGGCCCAGTGAGGGTCCCTCGAGGAAGAAAGTCGAAAAACAACATCCGTCGTGAATCTTACGTGATTCGAGGGGGCGAGGGGATATTGGGAAGCGGGATGGGATGCACAAAAACATACTCGTACAACTTGTACTACTCGGAGGCATGTTCGACCCGAACACGCATTCCAACCATCTTGGAATACTTGCCGGGTGCTAGAATTTCTGACCGCGCTGCCCCAAATTGCGCCGTTCGGGAGGCGATCGAAACGGAAATGCCACGGCGCGCACATGCGGCGGCAGCCGAATCTGTCGCCGCGCCAGGGCGAACACGCAACCCGCGCCCCCCCTCCCTCCAGCGATGCAAAGCTGAGCAACGAAGCGACGCGACGACGTCACCGAGGAGGTCCATTGCCGTCGTCTCTTGTCGGTCTCCTCAGCTTTGCATCAAAGGGGTGGGGGGTGGGGGGGCCAGCGCGTCGCTGGTCTTTGCGACGGGGGTGGGGGGCCAGCGCGTCGCTGGTCTTTGCGACTTTCAAGGTTCGCACCGTCCGTGTATATCGCTTCCCGAGCGGTACGGCCAGAAAATGCCCGCCACGTAACATACTCTATAAGACGTCTCGGCGCGCGCGTCGCCCAGGGGGGGTGCGACGCAAACATAATATTAAAAGATCAGTGTGACGCCGATCGTAGACGCACTGACCCGGGTCAATGAACATCCGGGTCAGTTGGGCTTTGCAGGATCACGCAAGATCCTGCAGGATCCTGCGCGCTAGCCCGGGTCAGTGCGACCCTGGCTTTGCAAGATCCTGCAAAATCCGGCGCTCTGGCTGACCCGCGTTTAAATTGACCCCCGTCCCTGGAGCCCCGACTCCTGCCCCTGGAGCCCAGGCCAGCCGGCTCTGAGGGGGGTGGCCCTCGGGGCTGCCGACGGGGCTCAACTGGCCCAGCAGAGCCTTTCGGGCCTGAGTGGTCTCGGCCCCAAGAAGAGCCCAGGAGCCCCCAAGAGACCCCCAAGACGCCCCAAGAGGCCTCGGCGAAAAGGCCAAACCGACGGGAGGCCCCCCCAGCCGAGGCCGCCTGCGCAACTCGGCCCAGAAGACCTGGGGAGCGCAGCCACTCCGCGCGGTGCACCCCGGCCACCAGCTCGGCCACGCCCGGCGGGTCGAGGCGGGGGAGCGCCGCCACGATGTCCTGGCCGATCTGGCCATACCGCGGAAACCACGACATCACGCAACACAGTACACACCACATAATCCCCACACTTGTACACACACATATATATATGTACATCTATATACATATATATATATATAAATACAAGACTGCCTTGGCGCTTCGCGCCATGCACCTTGGTCCTTGAAGTTTGGTGTGCAGGCGGAATAGCAAGAAGGTCAAGCCGAGAATCTAGCGATAACTCCTTGTTGCTTTTTCCGGCATCGCCGCAATAATAATGTTATTCGTTATCCTTCCTCCATGCCTCTTTTTCCTCATGTTCGCCATACCCTGCGCATTCTCCCTATCCTCAGTTTTTTTGGGGGGAGGCTCCTCCTGGGAGAGCCTCTGGGGGCCTAAAACAATTGTTTGAGGCTTTCTTAAAGCCTTCTGGAAGCCTCCTGGGCGTATTCTGGGGGCCTCTGGGGGCTTCCTCAGGCCACCCTGCCTCCAACCACGGTCTCCCTGGACGACCGGGTCACGATTTGGAGTGCTTCGGAGGGTGTCTTGGGGCCATCTTGGGCCGCCATGGGGCTCTCTGAGGGCCATCTTGGACCCGTGTTGTGCCGTTTTGGGGCTCTCTCGGAGTGCCTGGAAGCCCTTTCGGATGTTTGTGGGGCGATTGTGGAGCCTCCCAAGCGGCTTCGGACGCCCCGAAGACCGCCGTCTTGGAGCGTCGGGAAGCCGAAAAGAGGAGAAACCCCAAATTCACCAAAAACTAACAGAAAATCCATGATTTTTGCCTTTTGAGAGTGCTCTTGGAGGCCTCTTTGGGGCCGTCCTGGAGGCCTCTTGGACCATCTTGAGGTCACGTCGGTCACTCTTGGAGCGCTCTTGCGCTGTCATGGGGGTCTCTGAAACGTCTCCGATGACCCCCCTGATCGCCCTAGGTGTGCTGGGAAGGCTTGGCAAAACGCCCTGCGAGGCCAGGGGGGCCGCTTCGAGGCCAGTCCGGAGGGTCCCAAAGCCCCAGATCCCGGGAGTCCCGTTTTTTTTTGGGGGGGGGGGGGGTGACGGGTTTTCCCTCTGCCCGGGCTTATAAAAATATAGGAAGAGGAATCTATCGTATACGTGTATGTAGATGTTTGTGCACACGCAGTCATGTGTATATACACACATACATACATACATACATACATACATACATACATACATACATACATATATACATACATACATACATACATAGATACATACATACATCCATACATACATACATACATACATACGTACAACAACATGCACACATGCATTCATATATCTATATATATACACATACGTACATGCACACCTGTACGTATACACATACGCAGACGTGTGTATCATCATACGCACCTCTCCGAGGGAATAGAACTCGGATGCGATTAGTTGGCTCAGTACGCGTTTGTTTTGGCCGTTTCGCTCGGAACATCCTCAACATTAAAACACCGAACACACCCCTCAGGCAAATCGTGACGTCACGGTCCAAAAACACAACCCGGAACAAGCGCATTGTAGTTCAATGATCATGAGCTCAACTCTGAACACATGCAGTTTCACCTGAGACGTGCTCTAGAAGTCGAGCCCCTTCTCAACACGATTTCTAGAACAAGGTAATTTCGTCAGAGGCATCCTCCCAACATCGAGCCCCGACGTACCCCCCACACACATAACGCACACATAACACACGCACACACATAACGCACACACAACACAGCACACCACACTACACACACGAATAACAAACACAACTACAACATGCATACCACATACAGAGAACGCACACGCGCACACACACACAACAAACACACACACACACACATCACACGTAGCACACGCAATACGAGCAACACACACAACACATACACGCATCACGCCTAACACACATACCACGCAGAAAACACCTAATCCAAACCCGCACACTCTCACATAGCACACACAACACACACACACACCTAACACACGCACACACCGCACAGCAGACACAACATGCATATCTTGCGCATGTGTTCATATGAGCCTGGGCACGCACTGAATATATCTATGTTGGTATACACACACTTTTTTTTTTTTATATATATATATATATATAAATACAAATTGACCGACGCTCTCCCAGCTGGCCCCTGCCATGGCAAACCGCGGCTGAGGAAGGCTCCCCTTCCCGCTTGCTCACCTGCGCCTCTGTTGAACACATAACTGCGTACACATGATATTTTGGACCTCCGCGAAGAAATCTTGAAGCGGCGCTGGACCCCCTTTCCTGGCGCGCGGAGCGCGCCGTGGCCGGCGCTGGAGGCGCCGCCAAGGTGGGTGCAGGTCCAAGAAAGCCGCGCGGACCTTAGAAGATGTATGTTTACGCAGTTCCTTCTTCTTTGACTCCCCACTTGCTCACCTGCGCTTCTTTTCCAAGATGCGGGGTCGAGCAGCGCTTCCTGCCCTCTGCAGTAATTCGCAGGAGAGCGCTCTGGTTCAGTCTACAGCGCAACATGGAAAAACAAAGGAACAAAAAGCATGCGCGGCTTCGTTTCCGGTTTGCCGGTTGACAGCGCATTTGGAGGACACCTTCGTTCCGAAGTCAGAATTCGATAGACGCATCTGCTATCGCTGGGCTGGGCTTCATAACCTGACCTGCCAGGCGTCGGAGGCCAGAACATGGTCGCTGCCTCTGGCCATCAGCGTGCAGACCCCCGCAGGAGCGGGCGGGAAAACTAGCGAGAGACCCAGGCGCCGCGACGGCGCCCTCCGCTCACGGCGGTGGTGGCCCGGGTCGCAGCAGCCAGCACGGCCGCCGCTAATATCCGCCGACCCTGCCGGCGTGTGCGAGGTTAGAGGGCAAAACATCCACCTCCATAATAACCACCCCAACAAGCGAGGCCGTTTAGTAAACGCAGCCAAAGAAGGAATCGAACAGGGCAGGGCTGTTTAGTAAGCGCCCAGGGCCGTTTAGTAAACGCAAAGAATCGGGTCCTGGGTTATCCCCCCTTGAGAGGGTTTTTTCTGCTCGAGTCGTCCGTCGTCTACGTCAGTCGTCGTCTGCGTCGTCCCCTTTCACTGCGCCCTCCTCAAGCCTGTCAGCGAGAGAAAGACCTCGCTATGTCGTAATCGAATCGAAAGGAAGCCCCTTCCCTTTGATCCCTTCCTCGCGCCGGGGGGGGGGTCCGGGGGGGGTCGCCACCAAGATACGCTTCCCCCCCGCGCGATCCCGAAACCCTTGCGCGGTCCCCGCGCGGTCCCGAGAAGCTCCCAGGAGGCCCAAAGAAATTCCCAAGAGGCCCCGAGAAGCCCACAAGAGGCCCCCAGGACCCGAAAAGGCCCCCAAGAGGCCCCCAAGAGGCTCCCAAGAGACCCCCAAAATTCATCCCCAGAGGCCCCCGAGAGCCTTCCCAAGAGACCCCAAAACGCATCCCTGAGGACTCGGGCCCGTCAGCGTCGTCGTCGTCGTCGCCGCCGCCGCCGCCGTCGTCGTGGACGTCCCCCTTCAGGGTCGGCGGCACCGGCCGTAAGGCCTTCAAAAGCGCGGCCGGTGCTGGAGCGGCCTGGGGCCCGCCGCGGTGGCCTTCAGTTGGGCCTGTTCCCCTGCAGGCCGATTTTGGACGAAAAATAAAAAAATACCCAAAAGAGTGCACCAAAAATGCTCAAAAATGGTCCAAAAATAGTCCCCAGACTATCTTTTGGACTATTTTTGAATTTTCCTCCTGTAGAGGGACAGGCCCGACTTAATGGTGGCCCTCGGCGACCGCGGGCCGTGCCCGAGGCGAGGCCGTGCTCACTTCGGCGGTGGCCTGTCCGCCGGCGTCGTCGGCTTCGCCGCGTCGAGCGCCAGGGTGCGGGTCGCCCGGGAGGCGCCCTCGGGGCGCCCGGTCGTCTTGCGCGCCGCCCCCTTGTGCCTCTCGGGGAGGGGGTCGACGAGAAAACAGACTTACCCCACGATCGACTTTCCGCCGAGTTTGCGAAGCTAAGCAGACTCGACGGAAAAATTCATTCTGGGGTGAATCGATTGCGTAATCGATCCCCTACTCGAGCCTTCGCAGCTTGCCGTTGGAGGAGTCCCCGTCCTCGTCCCGCTCTTTGCGCTCCTGCAACCGAGCCCTCCACGACGCCCTGTCCTGGTCCTGCAGCACGAGCTGGGCCCATGTCAGGTGGGCCTCCTGGAACGAGGCCTCCATCCTCTGGAGCGCAAGCATTGCCCGGAAGCTCTCGAACGTTGCCCTCACGAGCGACATGTTTGCCGACAAGCCACCATCTTTCATGTTGATGACTTCTCGAAGCTGCTTTCGTCTCACCGTCCTCGCCAGCGTCCCAACATGGTACCGATCCTCAGTATCTCGGGCCGAAGGACTATCCGTGCCCGTGGATTTGGGCACATGCTGCATCATGAGCTCGTGCACATGCTCGTCGCCTAACGACGCCGCCTTTACATGGGGGAGATGGGCTCTGAAGGAAACGGCGCCAGGATGCCAGTGCTCTCCCCCGTCGCAGCTTTTCATCCAGGGCTTTCTTGGACGGCCCCAAGGCCAAACAAAGGAGGCCCCCGAGGTCCCCCAGGAAATCTCTGGAGGCCCCCGAAGAGCAGAAAGTGCCGAAAGCCCAGAGTGATTCGACGTCGTGGAGAGGCCACGACGTGGATACAGAGAATGCCAATGCCAAGAAACACCCTGCTTGCCTCCAGGGTGCCCTAGGTTTCTTTGGCTTCGATGGTTCTGCTGTGGAAAGCGCGACGTTCCGACACCCAAACTCGATGACTGTCCTGGGGCCTCAGGCTTGGGCTTCTTGTGGGAGGTTTCTTGCGGACTGGCCTCCACTGTTAAGTCGGGCCTGTCCCCCTACAGGGGGATTTTGAGCGAAAAATAAAAAACAATCAACACATACCCCAAAGATGCCCCAAAATACGCAAAAAATAGTCCCCAGACTATTTTTTGACTATTTTTGAATATTCCCCCTGTAGAGGGACAGGCCCGACTTAACTCCACTGTGAAAACCACAACCGGACTCCTCGACCCCAACTCCCGGGACCTCGACGCTGGCCGACGCGAAATCGGCGCTATCTCGTCCACTCCCAGACGCCGATCGATGCCAATCGACGCTGAAGGCAGAACACTGCGAGGGCACACGCGGCCCCCATGACTCTCCACCGAAGGACTCGACGTCGTGTGATGGGCCTGTTCTCCACCACCACCACCACCATAAGTTGGAGGGGGAGGGGGTCCTCCTCCTCCTCCCCCCCTTCCTCCTCCTCCTCCTCCTCCTCCTCCTCCTCCTCCTCCTCCCCCCCTTCCTCCTCCTCCTCCTCCTCCTCCTCCTCCTCCTCCTCCTCTCTTCGTCCTCCTCTCCTCCTCCTCCTCCTCCTCCTCCTCCTCCTCTCTTCGTCCTCCTCCTCCTCGTCGTCGTCGTCGTCCTCCTCCTCCTCCTCCTCCTCCTCCAACTTATATGGTGGTGGCGGAAAACGCGCCCACCAATCGTGGAGAGGCTGCACAGCGGGTTTCAAAACCACAGCCGGCCTCCTCGACCCCAAACAAATCGGGGATGGACAGATCCCCCTTTAGTAAAACGTGGTTTAGTGAAAACGACCTGAGGCCCAAACCTGGCGGGCGCAAGCCTGGAAAACAACGGCCACGGCGCCCTCTCGAGAACCGAAAACGGACAATTCACCAATCGACGTGTCACTGTTGGGGGCTCTGTCCACCTCCGACAGAAAGCTCCCGGCGCCCGCGCCGGGCCGAGCCGTGGAGGCCGCCCAAAAGAGAGGCCCCTGAGAGCGGGGCGAGTGCGCGCCGGCCGTGCTCCTCTCCCTCGCGGCCCTCGCGGCGCCCCCGGCCCGTGGGGAGCGCCCCCACCGGGGAGCCCGAGGCCTTGAGCTCTCCATCCCAGGCCCCAGGCTTCCGACGTCGTGCCTCCCTGAATACCCAGGCCCCCTCGAGGAAGGACAAAAATCACGACGGGAGGTTTTCTACAGTTTTCGGCCTCTGGGGGCCCTTACCGGGCCTCGGGATCGTCAAAAAACGACTCGGGATGAAGAACTGGTCCCGGGGAATCGGTCGAAACTTCTGGGGGTCGACGTCATGAAAAAATCATGACGTCGGGGGTCTGGGTAAAAGGGGCCCAGGGACACACGAATAAAGGGGCACAACTCCAAGGATTGTCCCATGTTTTCTGGGGGTTCGTCTTGCCCCCCCAATTTCAAATTTTCATATCTTTTCTTCTGGGGATCGACCATCCCGACCGGGCTGGATCGCTCCATCCCAGGAGACCCCCAGAGTCGAATCGACAAATCGCATCGGCGATCGAAATGGATCGGATCGGCGGAGATCGGCAGCCCAGTCGGGAGAAGTCGAGTCGGCAGAAATCGACAGGCTAGTAGGCCTCCAGTGAGACATCGGATCCCGAATCGGAATCCGAAATTGAATCGAATCGAATCGGCGGCATCGAAATGCGCCCTGCCATCCCAGACCCAGACTTCTGACCTCGTGCCTCCCTGAGCAAAACGGGACCAGGGGCACACGAAGAAAGGGGGACAACTTCCAGGATTTCACATCCTATCCCGTGTTTTCTGTGGTTTCGTCTTCCTCCCCCCACTTCCCATGCTTGCCAATATTTTCCTCGGGATCGACGATTGATTGTGTCTGTGTGCTTGTGCCCCTCCTGATCGAGATCCGGAGGCGCGAGGAATTAGAACATCGTGAAACTCATGACCAGAGCCTCGGGCCCAAACTTTCTGCGCCATTTTCCGAGCGCTTAAACATGCGATCGATATCAGGACCCGAGCTCGAGCCGGATATCTGGCTCGAGCCGGATATCCGGACCCTCACAGATCGGCATCGATCGGTGATGCTCCCGGGGCCGAAAGTTAACATAAAACGCCCGGCTCGAACAAACTGGACGCCATGATCTTCAAAACATTCTTTCGCGGCACCCGGATCTGAGGGAACGTCCGAACCGGGAACCAACAACGGCGTTGGGGGCCATCGCTGGCAGTGCGTAACATCGCTTATCCCACTTCATGGGGCAAATGGTTTCTGAGCACTGGGCTACCTACTCCTGTTTCCGGAACCCTAAGGCCCTTTGGTCCAAATCTCCCGCCTAATTGGGGTGCCGACTTTCCTGTTATGAAGCGCGTGTGTCGGCAAGCTTCTCCGTGTCTGGGGCAGCGACCCTCCTCGCCGAGAGCGCTCCGGGGTTGCCCTTGGTCGTCTCCTTTAGGGTGCGGGTGGGGGGGGCACGACTTGTCCCCCGAAGTTTCGGCCACGTTCGCTGGGCAAGTATTGCCCTGCATATTGTACAAATTTGCGCTCCTTCCGTCAAGTTTAGATCGCTACTTGGACCTGGAGTCAACACTGTGCATACGTTTCTTGGCTTCCCCACTCGCGGGACCTGGCGCGTAACTGGAAGGGCGGGAGGGCAGGGGAGGGGACTGTCATAGAACTCAATAAAAGATCCCCACGAACCTGGTACAGTACGTGCAGTACTGGGGGTGGCGGACCGTCTCCCCATCCTGCCATCGAAAAAAGATGCGAAGTCCCTGGAGACGGGAAGGGGTGGGCACACGTTGGCATCATAGCTCGAGCCGGGCGAAAGGGGGGGATAGCAAAGGGGGGGTTTGAGAATCAGCTCACGCAGCTGATTTTCCCGGCGCCTCCTGGCGCCCATGTATCGAGGAATGGGCCCAGCGGCGGGGCCGAAACTGGCTGCATGCAGCAGATGTCGCACCCCCCCCTTTCCCAATCCCGCCCTTTCGTCCGGCCCGAATAGCCGACCCACAACCAATAGAAGCATCAAAACCTCTGATCATCAGACTGCCTAGGCTGATCAACTCACGGATCCGACACTGCATCTTCTACTCAATGTATTCCATGCGTCGCATGCTCTCCCGATGCCTTGAGATTTTCAACCGCGGAGCAGGGGTCGACCAAAACAATGTTTTGCGTGTTCGTTCCGTTCTCGTTTCAAGGCGTTCTAAAGCGAAAACGATCTAATCGATTGCCCAACACGACGTTGTGGCGCAACTCCGAAGACGCGATGGGCCGACGGTGGCCCCCCGAATGAAAACAGAAAAAAGAAAACAAAAGAGAACACGGGAACGATCCACGAGATTGCCAGAACGTCGCTTTGGTCGACCCCTGCCGCGTAGCCCTCCGAGGTGGGCACCTCTGGGGGGGGGGCCCTCCCGCTTGGGCGGCAACACGGGGGGACCTAAATGGGGGGGGGTGAAGCAAACGGAGGGCCCCTGCTGGCTCCAAAAGGGGCCCTGAAGGGCCCCTTTGAGGCCCTTCTCTTTACCCCCCTGTTCAGGCCCCGCCCGCCCGACCCACCGGAGGCCCGCGCGGCACTGCTCGAGCGTCTCTGGCCGGCCTCTCGGGCAGCCTCGGGCGGCCTCGCGGGCAGCCTCGGACTGCCTCGGAGGGCTGCGGCCGACTCCACTGCAGCCGCGGGGGGTCGCTTTGGGGGGCGCTCCTCCGGCCTCTCCTCCCCTGCCCTCCTCCTCCCTCCTCTGGGAGCTTCTCAGGATCTCAGGACCTCAAGGGGCGGCAGGCCTCCGAGGTCGTCGCTGCTTCGCAGCGTGGACACCCCCAGAGGTTTAGACCCCCCCCCCCGAGGACCGCCTCCTCCTGAACCTAGCCGCCCCGATGCGCAAGACGCAACCCGTAGCGCGTTGACACGCAATTCACAACGTATATTGAAAACGTACGTTTGGCGCGATGCGTTCGCCAAAGCGCGGGCCAACACGTCGAGCCAACACGCAACGTGTTAGCACGGGCGTCTTGAACACGGCACGTGTTGCGTTTCAAAACGGGCGTATTAAGACAAGTGAGATCCTGAATCGTTTTTAAGCAGTCCCAGGGCCTGGTGAGGGCCCCAGGGAGCCGAAACTGGCGAACAACCGTCAGTCCTTGAGATTCGACGTCGCGAAAAAGTGCAACACCGCGAAAAATCACCAGACCCCCTGACCCAATCTTCCCGCGGTATCTTTCGAGCCAGATCGACTTCTGATGCTCCGGGGGCCAGAAACGCGGCGAAATCGCAGGCTTGGAAACAATGCGACGCCAGAAATCTCAGGGGTCGTGATTTTTCCAGACGCGAAGGGGCTGGCAGAGGTCTGGGGCGTTTCCCTGCGCCGAGCCGCCGCGTGCAGGGAGGACTCCCCGCGGGCGTTCTGCTTGGTGGGGTCCGCGCGCGCCAGCAGCAGCGCGTGGCAGAACTGCGCCGCGGGGTCGGGGCCGTCCTCGCGCCTGGCGCCGATGAGGGAGCCGACGGCCTGCACCGCCTGGCAGGGGCATACGATAGGGGCCCGACCGCAAGGAACCTTCCACAAGAAACCCAACCCGGAGACCCCAGGACGCCCATTGCCTCCTGGTGCGGGAACGTCGCGCTCTCAACGGCAACACCCTGGAAGCCCAAGAAACCCGGGGCACCCTGGAGGCAAGCAGGGTGCTTCTTGGCCTGGGCCTCCACTGTAAGATCTGGGCGCTGCACCCTTTCACGCCTAGCGTGTTCGGCCGGCTTCGGGCCCCAGGACCCTCACAGATCCAGCCAGCTCGAGAAAACTGCAGCATGCTGACGGGGTGGCCGTGTTTTTTTCGCGATGCGCGTGGGATTTCAGGGGGAGGAGAAGAAAGACCATGGGAAACCTAAGATGCAGCAGGGAGGAGGAGGAGGAGGAGGAGGAGGAGGAGGAGGAGGAGGAGGAGGAGGAGGAGGAGGAGGAGGAGGAGGAGGAGGAGGAGGAGGAGGAGGGGGAGGAGCAGCAGGAGGAGGAGGAGGAGGAGGAACAGGATTTTTTCTCGTCGCCAGAGGAGGACGAGGAGGAGGGAGGAGGAGGAGAGGAGGAGGAGGAGGAGGAGGAGGAGGAGGAGGAGGAGGAGGAGGAGGAGGAGGAGCGAGGATCGTAGAGCCTCGATCTAGGAGGACCAGGGTACAGTAGGACCATACGATACGACATCTTGCTATGAGAAATCTGGGGGCACGTCCTTCGTCGAACTCTGGACTTCCCAGGGTGCCCCGGGGCTTCTGCAGGCCCCTGGGGCCACCGCGGGATAAGACCGTCCCGTCGGGCCCCTGCTGGCAGGCTGGCTTCTTGTCTGGTGCGCCTGCTGCAGTCGGCAGATGTGCCAAAGAGTAGGCGCAGAAGCAGGAGTAGGAGGAAGAGGAGGAAGCGGAGGAGGAGGCGGAGGAGGAGGCGGAGGGGGGAGGAGGAGGCGGAGGAGGCGGAGGGGGAGGCGGAGGAGGAGGCGGCGGAGGAGGAGGAGGCGGAGGAGGAGGAGGAGGAGGAGGAGGAGGAGGAGGAGGAGGAGTAGTTGCAGCAGCAGGAGGAGGAGGCGGATGAGGATGAGGATGAGGATCAGGATGAGGATGAGGAGGAGGAGGAGGAGGAGGAGGAAAGAGGTTTGAGTTATCGAAGTATCTGACAAATGTGGGCCTTTCGGGCCACTAGAGATGGAGGCCTCACAGACGAGGCTAGTTGATGGGGTGGCGCATGCGCATTCGCACTGTTGTGTGTGTGTGTGTGTCGTGCATGCGCATTCGCACTGTTGTCATCTGCTCAGGCTACAGCTCGATGAAGTAGTCATCTCATCGTGACTGGGATAGTGAACTTGCCGTGCACGCTCCTATTCCTTGATACTCGTACTATACATTTTCATGCACATTCCGATTACTGTACTTTTGTTCGTTTCTTACTTTGCGATGAATCCATTTGCTCCTCGCCCGCCAATGTTTGGCCAGCAGTATCAGCAGCAGTCCAGCTACGGATACCGTCCACAAGGGCCCTTCCAGTTCCCAATGGCTTCCGGCACATCTGCACCTACGCCACGGCCTGCGCCGATGCGTGTGTACGAAGGGCAAGTTGTGGATATGAGAACGCACAGCCAGGACGAGCATGGTAGATTCCTACCTCTTCATGCGGACAACGTTGATCGATTCGAAGTTGTGAGCGTGGCCACGAACCTCCCCGGCCTCCGGGACATGATGAAAAAGGAGCGCGCCGTACCTGTTTTTCTTCGCGCACACGAGGAATGGGACGTCAATGTCCGTCGTGCTCAAGAGATCTCCGGCCTCATTCCAATGTCGTGCAGTGAGGAGACGTGGAATAACTATGTCGTCGGAGTTCGTTCGGTGCTCGAAACCTTGCAGATCCCCCAGGCAGAGTCCGTGAGTGATTTCTTGGAAAGGAAGCGTTGCGATGAATCCTTTCGCCAGAATCGTTTCCGCCCTCGTGATCATGACTTCCACCGGGAGCCTCGCGCGGAGCGTTCCTTGTTCACTGACTTCCAGGGAGCCGAGATGGATCAGGACACTGGTGCGAGGACGCCTCTGCTTGATCCCCGGGAATCCATGGGTTGCTCTGTCAGGCACAACGATGAGTACGGCACTGTGATTGGTGTAGAGCAGCTTCCTGGTGAAGGTAATTACCAGGTGAAGATTCAGTGGGCCAACAACGGTAGCATGTCCAACCATCCGTGGGATTCTGTCGTGAGCGACATGGAGGTTCGCAGGGTTCCTGTCCACGAGATGTCCACTCCAAATCCCCGGCCGAGGCGTCGCCCGAGGCAGGCTGATGCAGCATCGGCTTCTTCTGAGTGGGCTAGGATTGTGGAGCAACAGAACCAGTCGCGCTGATCCGTAGGTAACGTGTTCCATATTTCACCCGCCACGTGGCAAACTAGCATGCACTCGCGCGATTACATAGCACCTGTGTTTTCCAAGCTTGGCATGAATGTTGACACGTGCATGTGCTTCTCCTCCTCCTCTTCTCCTTGCTTCTGCCAGCGCATTAACGTGAGGGATTGGACTGAGATGGAAGATAAGTATGCTTTGCCACACGTGCGTCGTGCACGACGTTTGCTTGAATGCGAATCGTGGGATCGACGTCTGGCTGTCGACAGCGCCCGCTCTGTAGGCGTGATCATAAAAAATGTCGCTTCGAATGTTCATTGCCGGTACGTTCAAGTGAAGGCTTGGAGACAGGTTACCGGTCTCTTGCGTTGTCTCAAAGCCCATTTGCATGGGTTGCGTTTCTCTTCATGTCGGAAGGCCACTGTACTTGCTAAGTCGGAGATGAGCACTATGTTGGACATTCTTAACTTTCTGCACTCCATCTCTACCATCCGCCTGCTTGGTCTCTCTTCCTTTCGCCACCATCAGAAAGTTTACTCTGCCATTGTTCGCTCTGCGTCTGCTGTGTATTGCGATCGTGTCTCTCCCTCGTTCACCTCCCATGTTGTGTACGCCTGGTTGTCCACGGATCACAATTTTATGTATGTCGGCAAGACGAATCGGGGGATGGACGTGCGCATGCGTGAGCATTTGGGTAATCTGCTCAGCGACCGGCCTCGTTCTCAAATCCCTGCTTATTACAAAATGAGGTCGTTGGATGTTGCTAGTTTTGTGTGCATCCCTCTCGTTTGTTTGTCGTCGTCGTCGGATTTTGAGTTGCGCGTGCTTGAAAAACGGTTCATTCATGCCCTTCGTCCTCAATTGAATGTTCCGTTTGTGAAAAAGCACGTCCGTGCGCCATGGGAGAAGTCTGGCGACTGCAGCGTGGTGGTGAATCCTACTAAGTCCGGTTCTCGTCCTCGTTCGTGTCGTTTTTCCAACCCTCGTTTTTTCTTGAGTACGTTTCAGGTTGATTGCAGGTCCATGTGTTGTTACACCATACAGCGATCTTCCTTGTCTGCCTTGGTTCTCAGATTGGGCGATATGCGACGGAAAGCTAATAGCAGCAGTCATGTTGTTAAATGGCTGCGCGATAACAAACCCATCGTCGTGCCCTGGTTGTTGCAACGTCTGCCAAAGACGCTGTCCGGATCAAGCCTTGCCGTGGCTCGCCGGAGAGTGTTCCAGATTATTGACCGCAAGAGTTCTCGTTCTTTTGTTTCTTGCTCTCTGCTTCTTCCTTCTCTGCTGGATTTCCCCATTCGTCCTGCTCTTGCTTCTGCCATCCGTTCTCAATTGTCCGTTCAACTTCCGGTTGGTACGTCTGTGCACTTGTTGTTCAAGCGATTGAAGGCACCGTCCCCGAAGAGTTTGCTTGTGAATTCAAAGGTTTGGTCTAAATCACTTGATACTTGTGAGTTCCCATGCACATGTGATGCCCTCTGTGATGAATTGTCTGTGGGCCGTTCCCAGAACGGACACGTTTGTTGCCTGTTGCAGAACACGGCAATTTCATCCAGCATTCCGGCTGGTTTCCATTCTGAGGAGGCTTGCGTTTGGAGTTTTGCTCAATTTCGCGATAGTTTGTTGCGTGCTGTTGACACTCTGCACACGAAATGCGCACATGTTGTTCCGGATGTTTGCGTTGACTTGTCTGATGCTCGCGAGGAAATCGGGGCAATGTTTGCTCGAGCTGACGCCTTCAGAGGGTATGGCGTTTTACAATCTGATGTGGTGGAGTGGAGTCGTCGTCTTCGTCGTATTGCTGTCGTCTCCCCCGTTGACAAAATGCCATCTGCTCTTGCCATCTCTTGCCCTCGTTCTTGGCAGTTCCGTGCTCGTGAGGTTTTCCTTGGTAAGGGCAACGTGTGTCGCTCTTTCCCTGGCTGGAATTCCATCCACAATGCTTTCTCGGAGTTACAGTCTAAGCTGTCGTACACAGGCCTTCTTCCACGTGATGTCACTCATCACCAGTTCGGTGGAGTCGATGTGTGGCCGAAAGCATCCAGCTTGCACCTCAAAGTCCGACCTCTGGGGTCTTACGCTAAGCATTGCATGCGTTCGTACTTCTCGCTTGCTTGCCGTGCTCTGAATTTTATGACCACCAATCTGTGCCCGGAGTCTATATCTGTGATTGCTGCGGAGAAGGTTGTGAGCAAATTTCACAACTTTAGTGTTGATTGCGTTGACAAGTGTTCTCGTGGCTTCACTCCCATTTACGTGCCATTCAAGCGGGACATCGATAATTTCTTCAATAATGTTCCGCGCAGCCTCATCAGTAAAGCCCTGTCCTGGGTGGTTGCTCGTTGGTATGAAGTTCATGGCTCTCGTCGTCGTTTCATCCGTCTCCCTCGGCTCTATAGGTACGCCCCTCGGTATCGCGAGTCCCCACATTGTTTCACTTGCGCCTTCAAGGGTCACGTCCGTAATTTGGCACGAGCTAACATGCCTAAACCGTCGCCTCACAATTGCCGCGTCGTCTCTGCTGACGATTATGTTCTGCGCGTGGATGACATTGTTCCCATTGTGAACGCTGATTTAGACAGTGGGTTCTTACACTTCGGGAAGGGGCTGTTTGTGCCCACTGTGGGGATGACACAGGGTAGCAATTTG